ATCTATAATAGTAATAAATATTGTGAAGAAAAAATTTAATTGTTTCAACTTATTTCTAAAAGAAAATAATAATAATAATAATAATAATAATAATAAATTATTATTCTTATCAAATTATTAATGATATAAATAATGAAGAACCAAAGGGTCAATACATTCTTATGTTACTAGAAAAGAATAGATAATCATTCAAAGATGGTATAATATTAAATTAATATGGCTATTATTAAAGACAAGAAAATTTCAAGCTTCTTGAAATAAGATTAAGAACAAGAAAGATGTTAACAAGAGTAAAGAAGGCCTCACTTTTACTTCTTTATATATTGTATAATTAGGAATTATGTGGCAAGAGTCTATAAAACCTTTTACACATGTTCAACTTATAAAATACATGCCTAATTTGTAAGACAAGTTTCTTATATGTACACCATATAACCAACATGTGCAACATGTGGCCAACTTATTGGTCAAGTTTTTAACCTACCAATCAACTACAAATAAGTATAAAGTCAAATTTGAGTCCATAAAGTAATTAAGAAGATTTTCTATAAGATATTATCAAATCTACTTATATTTATTTTCTATTCAATATTTATTATCTATCTATCTATCTATATATATATATATATATATATGATAAGTAGCTAGTATAATAATTATTGAAAAAGTAGTGCACATATCTCATATGGTTTGTAGTACCTTGAATATAGGTAGAAAAATGAGATTAAAGCATTGTAGTCTATATAAGACATCCATATATAATATTTGTGAGTCTTAGTGAGGTTCAAATTCTTAATTTCTTAAGCAAATTAACCTTGAAATAAAATATATTTATTTAATTTTTAAATTTTGACCTTTAATTTTTAAATTATTTAATTAATTTATTATAATTTAGACTTAGATGTTATTTTTTCATTTAAAAAATAAAAAATTACCTATAAAAAAATATAATTTTTTATTTTGAATTTTATATTTTATTAAATCAAAATCTAATAAACAAATTATGATTACTTTGTATAATTTATAATTATTTGATTGAATTTTTTTGTATTATTTTTATTCTTTTTTTCCACTTTTTTATTTTATCTCTCACTTTATAATATTAATTACAAACAACTCTTAATTAAAGCCATCTTGTAATTTAGATTGAAAAGTGAATTTTATTTTTATATTTTGGTGTATTTGATACAAAGTGGTGTTTTTAATTGTATGTGTGAAGCTTTGAATAAGAAGCATATTAAGAGTACAAGAAATAAATGGAAAAATTAAAAATAAATGGAAGAAATTTAATAAAGAAAATCAGGAGGCAAGCCAAAGAAAATACAATGTACATAAGCCTTTTGATTGGATATCTAGAAATGGATTGATTATAACTTTTACTTGCTCAAGCTTGTGACAATTGTCTTTAGACATGCAAAAATGTCTTTAGTCATAAATGTCTACTTCTTGATAGGTCATTCTAATTCACTCATCTTCTTCTTCTTTTTTGGAGGTAGACATGAAGCGCTACAACAACTTTTTTTACTCCACTAAATACTTGAACAATTTACAAAGTACTTTGGCATTGAACAATAGCTACTAAAAATCACATGTCTTCATAACCAAGCACTCACAATTAAAACATAAAATACTAAATATACTTATAAGTTGTTGAAACAAAGATTGGACAATTGTCTAATATGCTTAAAGATTTGCATAGATCTACAAGCTTCAAAATTTTCTACTCCAACAAAGTATCCTAAATATAAAAGAGCTAATTCAAAGGAAGACAAGAACATGATAAGCTTTACAAGAGAGACAACTTGCATCCATGAGACTAATTTAACAACAAAGATTCTATTGTATTTTTGGAAGTTGTGGAAATAGATTTCTAACAATGAATCTTATATTTTTATAGATTACATAGAAAATATGGAATTAATAATCTATTTTTATTAAATATATGAATAACTATTAGAATAGAATTTTTTATAGAATAAACTACTATTACTATTTTTTATATTATATAATTATTTGTTAATACTTTTGAGAGTATAAAAAAGTTACAAATAAGCATTATAATTAATCCTACTCTTTTGTTTTATTGATTCTTATACACAAAAATGTGGTAGTAGAAAAAATTATAATTGACATTTATTAGTGATTGCTTCATATTTAAAATTGATTATAATTAGTCACATTTTCATACATGCATGACAATTGAGAAATATAGCTAATTTTTTAGATATGGTTGTTTATGAGGTGCTTATTTATGAAGTAAAAAAAATAAGTGAGTCAATTTCATTAATTAGTAAGTATAAAATTGGTGTTTTAAACATCTTAAGTACATAAATAGATTTTGTATTTGAGATTTATTATGCATCCTAAAAAAATCCATGAAAAATAAAAATTTAATTGAAATATGATTTGTGACTTACAAAATATTATGTTATTTATCATAGTATAATATCCATACTTTTTGTAAGCCTAAGTATAGTAAAATTTTCTATATCCCAATAAGACTTAAATTGATATTAATATAATAGTGAGATACTAAAAGTTGATCTTTGTATTCAATAAATTTTCTAAATTCTTTTGTGGCTTAGTTCAATTCTAGTAGTTGTTATAATTTGTAGATAGATATTTCTAAAATCATATATATATATATATATATATATATATATATATTTTTAATGTAAGTAGCTTATGATGTGCAATATTTATGAGTGCATAATGCTAGAATTGGTTTTTTTAAGCATTTATTTAGTTAAAAAAATATACAATTAAAATCTTTGATAAAATAATATTTAATATTTAATATATGAATTTGTATTAAAAAAATTCTAAATAACAAAACTTTGGTAGAATCTCTTCAGTCAAAAAAATTTAAGAAATTTATATAATTTATTAATTAAATTAAATACAAATATGAATTAATTATAATATGTGAGTTTTTTAAACTAAAGCCAATTCATAGAGTATTATAAACCATGGTTTTTGAATTAGTTTAAAAATCTATAGATTAAAATTCTATGATTTTTGAATTTTTTTAAACAAATAACATGGTTTTTTTTAGAATAGAAGATTTGTAATTAGAAAAAATTCAGATAATCCATATATTTTTTATAAATTTTAATTAAATACATACATAAATTTATTTTAGTATGTGAATTTCTAAAAATTTATGTTTTTTTGAAGTAGCTTAAGTAAGGAATAATGTTTGTTTGTTTGTTTGTTTGTTTGTTTGTTTGTTTTTGAGACTTATATACTTGTATACTTGTATTCTATTATTATAGTATTTAATTTTTTTATAGTGCTTACATTTGTAACAAAATGCATACTACACCACATCCAAAAGCAGCTATTATGTATTTTTTTTTACAACATAATTATATCCTATAATTGAAAATGAAATTTTAATTATAAGCTTTTATACAACTTGATTATTATGCCTTCTAACAATATTTCAAAAAATCAAAGATAGATATAAGGTAGAAACTAGAATGACTATTACTAAATACATAAAGACTAGAGAATCTTGAACTAAGACAAGAATATAAGGAAAGTATTGACAAGAGTGAGAAAGGCTTCATTCTTACCTCTATATAAACTATCTAACTAAAGAGCTACATCACAATGTTTTATAAGTCATCCAACACATGTCCAACTTGCAAGACATATGTGTAACTTGCAAGGCAAGTTTCCAACATGTGTGCCTTACTTTCCAACTTGTATACTTGATTTCCAACTTAGTTCTACCTAACTCTTCTTATCTTTATTAATGCTAATGTATTTGTAACAAGTATTCTTTTATATATGTAAAACAATATCTTACAACTAAATTATTAAAATTATACCAAATTTTAGAACTAAGTTGTTTGCTTTTATACAAGTGCATCTACAAAGATTCTACCATAGATTAATTTCAGATTTTCAAAACCTAGCAAAGAATCACATTAAACTTGACTACCTTTTTAATTGCAATGTTTAAGTTTTTTTTTTTTTTTTTTTTTTCTCTTCACAGAAGAGGTTTTCTACATCAAAATTCTACAAATTTTATACTTTCAAAAAGCTCCTATGTTTATCTTGTTAACATCACAAATCCATCTCCAAAAACATATTTATTTTGTTGTAGGTGCTTGTTTTTGTGCTTTGGAATTTGATTTCAATTATGTCTCACAAATGATCCTCTTTGGACATCAATCTAACAAGAAAATATTCTTAATTTTAATTTTAAGAATATTGCGTAGATTTTATATTTATTTATCTCATCATGTTTCATTTACAATCCTATAAAGTAAATAGAATCCTTTCTTATAAAAATGGCAGAACAAAATATTAGATTTTAACTATATCCATGTTGTTAACCATATTTTTTAAAAAAGATTTTAATAATTATTTAATTAAAATTTTCTATATATTTTAGTCTTCAATTCCTTTTTTACCTAATAGTTGTATTGTAAGATAACACTCTGACATGTGCATCAAGAACATTAAGATTTATCAAGAAGTTTGCTATGATATAATGTTCATATTAACTAAAGATAAATTTGATGATATGCCTAAAACAATGTATACCATGTGCATTAAAGTTAAAGATTTAAAATCTTTGTTGCAATTTTGAGAAAACACAAACTGAAGAAATATAAAAGATTCAATTTTTAGGCACTCAAATATAAATTAATACTCATTATATATATATATATATATATATATATATATATATATGTTTTATGTGCATGTATAATTTATAAAGGATTTTTTATTGACTATTTAATTAAAACTAAAATGAACATATATCGTTGTGAATTTTAAACCATAATAAATTCTGACACATAATTCCATGACCAAAAGAATAATTTCTAACCAGTTGCGGTGCTCTCTCACGCATGTGTGTACGAAAAAACAATAAAAATTTGCAAAAATAAACTGTGTGTAACGCAAGAAAGAAATACGCGGACGACCGTTCTGCATGGAACAGTCCTCGTCAATTTTAACATTAAGTTCACGCAAAGATGAGTCCTGGACAAGTTTTCGGGTTTTAGGGTTTCATGGCCATCTTCGTCAAGCTGACCTCCAATTTGTTGCGCACCACCGTAGAATCTGTGGGATCGCGCGGCTGCTCATGGATTATTGACGTCCTACGGGGTAGAGTTTTGTTGTCATCGTCGTCGTCGTCGTCTTCACACAGGGTTTTCAGGTCAGGAGGAGGGAAGGATGCCTCTCTTAGCGCACAGCTTCGGCGAGGAAGGGGCGAAGACCCACTACGACGTGCTCAATGTGTCACCTTCCTCCAGCCTTGAAGAAATTCGTGCGTCTTATCGAACTGCGCTTCTATCCGTGCATCCTGACAAAATGGGCTCTCAATCGCTGCTGTACCCTAATTTGGAAGCGGACGTTAGAGATGCTTCTCGCTATCTTCGAGTGCAGGAAGCGTGGAACATCCTGCGCGATGCAGATTCCAGGGCTCTCTATGACGCTTCAGTGAAACATTCTCGAGAAATGGCTAGTAAACGCGACTTGAGTGTTGTGGTCGGCGAGGAAATTGTACTGGAAGAGATGGAAGAGTGCATGAGCGAGACTGGTAACTTGGAGTATTGGTACCCGTGCAGGTGTAGTGACTTTTTCGTAGTTAGTGCAAAAGAGCTCCAGGAGGCTGGTTTAGTTTTTGTTGCAACGGAAGAAGAATCAATGTCATTGAGGCCATCGGAAGAATGTGATGATGCCAGAAGCTGTGACGGAATCCATCCAGGCAGACAGCGGCAATCGATTGTGCTGCCTTGTGGATCTTGTTCCTTACATCTTCGTGTCCACTTCTGGTTGACTTGCCCTTGATTATTTTTTGGGGTGTTGATTCCTGCATGGACATGAGTGGCCAATTCAGAAGTTTGGGATATGTCAACAAAATTGCGGTTGTCAAAAGGTAAATGGTTTTTAAGCTTCTATGTAGTCCGTCAGCAAGTTTTTATTTTCGTGCTAATGTTTTTAACCTTTGGGATACGCTTTAATCTTTTCTGTTTTTGGTTCTTGGTTCTTTTGTGAGCTGACAATTTTTGTATGAATATCAATAATGGGATTTGCGGCTCATTGAAATATGGAACGTCCTCGTTAAAGTATGTAGTATTTACCACATCGTTTTATTTCTATATTTCCAGAAAGCTGGACTTTTAATTGCTGAATTTCTGAGACCAGATCCCTGATGTGTTGACAGAATGTAGTAAAGTAGTTTCGGAAGGAACTAAGGAGAGAACTGAATCTGCGACCAGGCAAACATCACCTGCGTTGACCCGATTGATGAAGTTGAGGTTGTTTTGCTCCATATCAAGCAGCATGTTTGTGGCATGGACGCAATTTATGATCGAAGATGATATATGTATTCTTCAAGGTTGATACTTGTTGAAGTTCATGCCCCGTTAAGCCTAAGTGGGTGGACCATCATGTTGTTTTCGTCTTTTTAAAGATGGTTAACGGGCGTATCCTTATTACTACCTACCAAGATTCGATTTTATGACTTAAACTTTCATGAAGAAAAATACGTAACGTCACATTCATGTTCTTATGAATGTGACGGCTCCTTCAAATCTTTTGGCATTACTGGTTCCCATATCAATAGCCGGCGGTTGTTGGTTTTTTTGTCATTTTATTTCCTCTTAGAAGTTGTGGAACCTATTCGATGGTTGTATCACTTGTATTCGCTGATAGAATAATATCACGAACCTTTTACTACCTGTGTAAGTAGGTGATAAGTAGTAGGTGATTATTCAAAGGTGCTCTGAAAGATCACGAAAGTTGGAAACTATTATAATAAATGTGTTTGTTCACATCCGTTTCAAACTCATGTGCTGGGGATCGTGAAACATAGATCTTGGATTCATGCTCTCACGTCGTTCCTGGTGCATTCACTGTTCTTCACTCTTTCTTACCCGTGTTTCAATAGGCTTGACTCAACGAGGATATCCTCAAACTGTTGCAACCTTGTTTTCGAGTAAGCTGAAGTGACAGCGATGAGTTTGTTTTGTTGGTTCTGGTTTAAAGGTTGCTTCAGACCTACCATTGCAGCTGGGAGAGGGACCTGGGGCAAAGTGTGCGGGGTGTAAGGGCTTTGAATGTCATGCGCTGTGGGGGCTTGTGTGCAGAAAACAACCCTGCTTTGCACCTTTTTCCATGCCAACTACAGATATGCCACTTTGCATAGAAAGTGCAAGTACTCATATTTCCAAGGTTGTATTTGCAGCTTCGGCACGGTTCGCTACGCAATTCCGCACGGGAGGAGACCGTTCACTAAGCTTGCGCTTGAATTGATACTCAACAAGATCACTCCTGAAAATTCTACGTTTTCACGTCGATATCCATCGAGATTGGCCCTATTTGGATTCGATTTCATTGTTAAAAGATTGAGACGTGCTGGACGCAGAAATTACAAGAGCAAACCAATTTTGGCTACCTGTGTCTCAAATTTGCCGAAACTGGCCATCTATCTATCACGGACTTCATGATTTATTTTCTGCCCATACGTCATAGTCGCTCCAGTTTGCGGTGGTTTGAACCTATTAGAATTCGGGTCAAACTAGATTGCCACTTTCAATACAGTAGCGCAAATGCTGAGAGGGTTTAAAAAACCTCTCATGTGACGCCATGTTGGAGCTTGTCAGCAGACTATGAATGACTGGGCATGTGCTTCTATCTGCCAGGCATTAATCGTGATTTGCTTCTTTTGAAACTTGAAAATTAGGAGTCCAATCATTCAGTGCAACGAACTTGTGAGATCTGCTGTGCTCATCACCTAAATAAGACCTCGAATCATTCCCTCCCATCCGATTAGAAATGCCAAACACACTCAAAGACTCGATGAAAGAACGCACAGTTTTATGACCATGGTCGAAGAGGTAGTTTAAGTTACTGCCACGAACCATCCATGAAACCAAATTCTGCTCAATTTTAACAACATAGCAACGCACTACAGTTGTGTGTTCGGTATGCGACGAATCTTACCTGCATGGCAACGCATCTACAAACAATGTGACATGCGTGACAGGGAAAAGTATAGAATTAACGCGAAAAAGTAAAAGCTACAAGTGGTGATCGAGGAACAGGAGAATCCATTGGAGGTTCGCAGGAGAAATGCTCCCTTAGCACGATGATGGAAAATTATTGAGCGTCCTTTGGGATACAGAAAAGCCATTCTGGTTTTCGACCAGGGCTAAGGAGCTTTCTCTTCAGCCCCTCTGGAGCCCACAGCTCACTTGCAGTCTTATCCTTGTAGCCTCAAGGTCACGATGCATTCAAGCTCACGCCCCCAAGTGCAATTAAGGTCCCCGGTGATTGGGAAGCTCAGGGATGACGAATCCAGCAAATCCTGCACATAGTGGAGGAAAAAAAATTAAATAAATCTATAGCCCACCTCAGCTTTTTTTCTGTTTGCAGGTGGTTGTCCGAAGAGACACCTTTTCTTTCTTCATATTTTCAGTGGGGGTTACTGGAGTTCTGAGAAGGGATTACTTTGTAGGTGGGTTACTGATAGAGAGTTCTTGCTGGTGAGTGGAATTCTGATAGCGAACCAGTATGAGTTGTTGAGAATTTTCTTTCACATTTAAGTTGGAACGACCATGATAACTTATTTGGTATTCATCAGCCCGTCATTCTATTTTTAGGAAGAAAGGAAAAAAAATGAACGAAAAAATCTGGGCATAAATGTGTGTGTGTGTGAGTTTTTTTTTTTGATTTTTTTTGATTTTTTATTTGTTTTTTTATTTGTTTTTTATTTATTTTTATCATGGCCACAAATTATTACCTCAATGATTGTATAAAATAACATCAAATTATATAAAATAATAATAATTGATTTAAAAAAATTAATATTGGATTAAAATGATGTGAAACTTTTACTCATTGAATATATATATATATATATATATATATATTGGTTTCTAATTCATATTTAGAGTATTAATTAATTTTGAATGTGTAAATAAACATGTTTTTATTTTTTTAAATCATTTTTTCTTAGCACTACTTTCTTAACCTTAAATTATCTTTGAAACTCATAAATCTCTCTATATATATTTCTTTTTATAATGTATACTACAAAATTTTAGTTATAGATTTTTTTACTTAATTGTATGATATATATATATATATATATATATATATATATATATATAAAAACATAAAATATACAACACAAAGAATCTAGTCAAATATCACACAAATAAAACTATTTGATACTACAAAAAAAAAAGTATATTGTTGAAAACATAAAAATAAAATATGTAATTTTTATATAATAATTTATTTAAAAAATTAAATAATAATTTTAAAATTAAACTTATATTTAATTTTTTGATATTTTTTGATAATAAACTACGTATTAAAAAAATTAAAAAAATATATTGGATTATTTCTTTTAAAAATAATATATATATATATATATATATATAAGTGTGTAATTATTTTTATTTTTTAAAATATTATTTTTGAAAAAAATTCTAAATAAATTTTATTATTATTAACTTAAATTACATAATTATATTAAAATATATTTTAAATAAATATATTATGTTTTAAAAAAAATTTACTTCAAATAATAATTTGTTAATATAAAAAATATAATTTTATCTTAATTTAAGTTAAATTAATTTTTTCATTATTTCATTTCTTTCTTTCTTTATTTAATATATATATATATATATATATATATATATATATATATATATATATATAAAAATAATAATATCTTTAGAGTTTATATTAATAATATCTTAAATATTATTTATTCATAAAATAATTGAATCATTAAAATAGATTCAAAAATATAATTATTTTTGAATTATATATATATACTGAATTTATAAAATATCATATATATTAAAAATTTTAATATTAATATTTTATTTTTGTATTATATATTTTATTTTAAGAATAAAACTATCAAATCTGTCATTAATAAAATAAATATAGCTTATCTATTTTATTGATAAATTATAAAAATTCATAAATTAGATTAATAAAAAGTAGGTAGTAGTTGAAATTTTATAAATTTATTTGCTCAATTTTAAAAAATTAATATCTATATATATATATATATATATATATATTTGAAATGCAAGACTACTACTAAAAAGTCCTTGCTCTATTAATGGATTTACTTGAAAACGTAATTACATATATAAGAATATATCATAAACATACAATTCAGTACTAGTACTTATCTAAATAAGAAGAGTTAAGTTGAAGTAAGTAAAAGAAAATAAATTTCATAATATTTCATAGATTATCTTTTGAAAAGCTTGATAGATATAGATTTGACTTTTTTAAGTGTTTGTAGGTGATTGTTAGGTTAAAAACTTGGCCAAAAGATTGGCCACATGTTGCACATATTGACTATTTGCTTAACAAGTTGGCCATGTGGTCTACATGTTAGAAACTTATCTTCCAAATTACATATCTATTACATAAGTTGGACACGTGTTGGATGAATTTTTGTATGTTACTAAAAAGTTTTTTAATTATATAGTATATTTAGAAGGAAGAATTAGGCCTTCTTCACTCTTATCAACTCCTTTCTTACTTCTAGTCTAATTTCAAGAATCTATAGTTTTTTTTTCTTTGGCAATAGCTTGTCCTAGACATACATATTTACTCTAATATTTTCTTATATGATTAAGTAGAAGTAGATAAAAGTAGATTTGTTTCATAATATTTTTTAGAAAAGCTTCTTAAAAATATTATAAACACTACATTGACTTTACATGTGTTTGTAGTTGATTGATAGGTTAGAAACTTGGTCAATAAATTAATCATGTATTGATAGCTTCTAAAACAAGCTAATTATGTAGTGCATATATAGAAAACTTGTTTTATAAGTTAAGAACTTTACATGACATTCTAAATCTCTAGCTAAGGTACTTATCTTTGTGAAGAAAAAAAATAGATCTCTGTAGATGTGTATCAATTATTAAGGACTCAACAAGATGACCATAAAAAATAGGTATTTAAATGAATTGAATCAAGCAATGTCTTATTACATATATTTTTACTTGAGAATGGAATAAGTATCTAGCTGTGGAAGGTAAATAATAATGCAACAACAATTCTACTAAATCTAATAGAGCCTTAAATAAACTTCATGTAATTCCTAATAATCTAATTAAACTTTAATCTATTAAAATATATTTAAAAAAAATTACAAAAGAAATACAAAAAATCTAAAGAAATATTAAAAATAAAAATCTTAATATAACTTTAATTGAAATCTTAATTAAATCTTAATCAATCTTTAGGTCAAACCCTAATTGAACCTTAACCAAATCTTAGATCAAATCTTAATGAAATTCTAATAAATTTTTGAACCTTAGTCAAATCCTAAATAAGTTTTAAATCAAATCCTAAGCAAAATTTAATTCTAAAAAAATTCTAAATCAAATCTTAAATCAAATCCTAATCAAATCTTAGATCTTAAGTAAACTCTTAATATATCCTATAGCAAAATGGAACCTCAACAATTAATGATCAAACTATTGATATTAACTCAAAATTTGCATAGTTTTTAATGTCTTAGTTTGAAACAAGTAAAAGAAAGATGAAACCAATTGCACATACTAATTGAGAGAAATACAAGATAATCCAATCAAGTATTAAGTGACATCTTACTCCAATTCAAATGCTAAACTTTTTGTTGAGATCATTAAATGTAGCCAGCGCTTTCCATAATATTTACTATAGACTACAGTAATTATCATAGCTATAGTATTTAGAGTCTAGTGGAAAAGTACTGTTTATCCTCTCTTCTTTTCTCTTCTTGTATATGAGACACAATCAAATCAATAGATTTGTGTAAGT